GGAAAGAGCCCTCCCCAGGGCACCCAGAAAAGCAAGAGCAGAGCTGGGACTTGAACTCAGAGTTCCCGCCTCTCAGCCCACCTCCCGCCAAGCGTCCACTCAGAGGCTTAAGTAGGAAGCAGGTGCTGACAAGAAACCCTCTATCTCGGCATTTACGTTCAATTTAGGTATATAACAATTTTTAAAGGCCGCTTGTTAAAAGCTACAATATTTCATGTGAAAATCCAGACTTCCATCTACTCTTTAAAAACCACAGGTCTGGCCACCCCAGGCCCACATCTCCTTGAAAACGGGGGCCAGAGCTGAGAGCTTCACTGCATCCTGCGATGGTCCTCGCCTTCCCGACCCCCCCGCTCCCCAGTCCCCCTCCCCACCTGGCTTGGCTGCCTGGGCCCTGGAGGAACCAGACCAGAGGCCCCAGGTACAGGGCGAGGGTGGAACCCAGCAGGAGGGGAGGGCCCTGCTCCCACTTCATCGCTTTGCCTCTCCTTACATCTGTACAATGGGTGTGCGCCCCGAACTGGGGACACGAGGCAAACACCCCCGGGCAGCCACCTGGGGCCCCGTTTATGCAGGAGGTGCAGACATAATTGGAATCCTCCCAGGATGGAGCTCAGAGAGAAGTTCATGGCTGGGAGGACCCCTTGGCAACCCGTGCAGGTAGGTGGTCGAGGGGCATGTGGTGAAGACCGGTGGATGGTGGCCAGCTGCCTTCAGAGGAGGGGGCTTTGGTTAACGGTCAGGTTTGGGGGTGAGGACCCGTTGTGAATTTGGGGTGGACTCGAATCCTTCCCCCACACCAACCCCACTCTGCCCAAACCTCTAAACTTGGGATGGAACAATATTTTAAAATTAGGCTTCAAAGAGACACAAGTCAGTGACCTGTTGGGTGTAGCTGTGGGAACTGAGCAATCAGGACAGACATCCAACACCCCCTGTTGTGCCCTCAATTAACCCTTTGGTTTCTGGGTGGTAGGGACATTCTGGAAATTCCTGGGGGAGGGGCTGGGTCTGTCCCAGGCCCAGTATTTCAGTATTTTGACAAACGATAGGGCCAACCAGCATTCTAGCTGAATACTGGGGTCCTTCCCTGTGTCCTCTGAGAAAATACAATGGGTCCAGTGCGGCAAGAACACCCCAAGGGTCCTCCTGGCTCAGACAGACCCCAGCCTCATGGTTTCCTCCTGGCATACATACCCCTGCCTACTTCCTCTGTCTCGGGAAGGCTGGTCTGGTCTCCTTCTGCCCGGCCTGGCATCTTTCCCCACCAACAACACCTCCAGGCCAATCCCCTGCCCACAAGGAAACCAGCCCAGCCCAAGAGGGAGCCAGGGCCCCAGGACATCCTGGCTCCAGATTTTTAAGAGAATAACAATAAAAACAGCCCAGAACAAAACAGTGCCGTCTTGGAGCCAGCCCAAGCCCAAAGGTTAAGGGAGATTCTAAGAAAAGGATTTCTTGGAAAGAGCCCCGACTTTTGCCAGGGCCTGGAATCTCCAGGATTGTTGGAGGAATTTCTGAGAGGATGGTGGCGGGAGGGAGGCGCAGGGAGGAGACTGGCGGGCACACGGGCCTGGGAGCTGGAGGGTCTGTTCGGTGCACAGGTGGCTTCTGCGGGTCGGGCAGCAGATGGGGCCACATGTCTGGCGAGGGGAACACCAGCACGGGCTGGGCTCATCTGAAACTCGGCTCCAGGGCCAGGGAAGGCCTCTGGCTGCAGCTTAGCCTTGCTCGTGGGCTCCTGTCTCCCGTCTCACCGCTTGGGAAACCTGGCCCCCACTGCTCCCAGGGGAAGCCCTGGCTCTTATCTTGGCATCCAAAGCCGCCGCCACCTCTCCGGCCCCCGGCCCGGCCCCTGAATGGGTCACTGCTGCCCATTTTCCCACTACACACTCTCGTGCCCACAATCTCAACCACTCCACAGGGCAGGCGAGGGGTCTGGGGCTCAGAGAGGGCAAGTGACCTGCCCAAGGTCACACAGCAAACTGACAGCTGGCTGGCCTTCAGGATCCTGCCCCCACCCCAAATCCAGACTCGGGGCCCTGTGTGCTTACCACGAGGAATGGCCCTTCCGTCTGGCAGAGGCGGATGACCATGACCAAGGGGACGCACACAATGGAGGACAGGGCCAGGCTCCAGCCCAGCCCGATGGCCCAGTTGGGGTACACGTAGACTTTGTTGTAGGTCAGGGGTACGTACTTGACGAGAGAGAAGATGAAACATCCCTGTGGAGAGACGGGGGGCGGTCAGGGGGCTTCTGGGACCAGGGCAGGCTCCACCCAAGAGGCTCACACCCTTCTCCCTCTGGTGCCGGAGGGCCGCCCCCGGGGTAAACCCGATCAAGCCGCCTCCTTGCTCGGAAACCTTCTGCGGTTCCCCGGGACCTTCGGGATGCAAACTCCTTGTCCGGCTGGCAATTCCCTGTCACCTACCCACTGCCTCTTCCCCTGCAACTATACTCCAGCTACCTGGAATTCCTTTCAGCTTCTCAGCCGCTTGCCCTGGGGTCTCTGGGCAGGCTGTTCCCACTCGCTGGGCACCTCTCTCTTGCTCACATTCTCCTCATCCTAAATTTGCACTAATGGTCCTGCCCAGGCCCCGCCCAGGCTCAGTCAGGTGCCCACACTTCCCTTCCCAGAAAGCGCGATTCTTCGTGATCACAATTACTCGTTCCCCACCCAGCCTGAGTCAATGAGAGCGGGAGGTGTGTCTGTCTCATTCCCCTGTTTCCCTGACAGGTGGTGTAGCTCTGGGGGCACACAGCTTCCCTTCCCCCACTGCCACCCCTCCACCTCCCTCTCTGAGCCCCAGGCCCAGCCCCCAAGGCAGGGTGTGGACCTGGGCCTTGCTGCCCTGTTGTGGGGGGGGGGGGGCCA